GTATATATATTTATATATATATATTTCATTTTATGAGTCAGTGTATTAAAAAAAAGAAAAAGAAAGAAAGAACTGCAGTCATAAAGCCAGGCCAAATCACTCTCAGTACAGATAAGGACCAGCAAATGGCTTTGTATTAAAGCTCTTAATTTTGCAGAAGCAGTAAAAATGGGTGCTTTTACAGCTCTTGCATCAGCACAGTCAGATATTTACAGCGAATACTTTCTTTTTTGGGGGGGGATTAAGCTATAAACTTTAGCTGAAATTGCCCCCAAAGTTTCACATTTCAAAGCCTTAAGCAGAGACAGATTATATTCTGTCTGCTCAACAGCTCTGAATTCACAGTTCAATGGAGTTAAACTCACAGCTACAAATTTTTAGCCGCTACTTTTATCTTGAGTGAAACATCTGAAGAGCTGCTGAGAGGATTGGGGTGAGATTTGGAGCAGACATTTGTTATCCCAAACTTATGTCTTTGCTTTCTATGGTTTGGAAACATTGACGAGTTTCTGATATGCTGTGAAAGTCTGTTCAGATATTTATGTTCCTTAAAAGGTTAAATCCAATCTGTTTTGTCACATGTTCACATACTAACATTAGTGATAAACTGGCGGCTACTGGGCCATTTACGATCCTCTGAACATGTTTTTTCCGGTCTACGAAACATCAAATTATGTTTCATTTGAAACAATAATCCCTTGTAGCCAAAAAGAAGAAATGCAGCGTGAATGCTTCATTCTGAATGATTTTGCAGAAAAAGGATGTGCAAAATACTTGCAATTTGTTGTAAAATAGCCAAAAAGCAGAAAAGTAGCTAAAAAATTAGTCAAATCTAACACAAAGAAGCAGAAAGAGCACATATTTGCTGAATTAAGCAGTTGAAAGAAGTAGCTAAAACTATCACAAAACTGTGAATTTAGCTGGAAAAAGGCTAACATTAGCTGAAAATAACTAAAAAGTAGGGGTGTAAGAAAATATCGATACACTGAAATATCGCGATATTTCATTTCCCGATACTGTATCGATATTCTAAAGCCCTGTATCGTTTTTATTAAGGTTTAAAATGTCAACCTTCCTGTCAACCATTCATTTTTATGTTGTAGTTCAGCCTCTGACCACTACGTGGCAGCAGTGAGCCAGACATTTGGCTCCTCTACCTCTTGAGCACCAGAGAGTAAGGGTAGGATTAGCATTGTAAGTAAACATTAGCTTTTCTTTTTTTTTTCAGTAAGAGGTTTTTATTTAATAGAATTTTTGGACAAAAAAAATCGCAATATATCACAATATATCGCCTTGTTTACAGTATCGAAATATATCAGGATATATCGGGATATATCGTATCGTGACCCCTCTGTTATGATATGTATCGTATCGCCAAATTCTTGCCAATACACAGCCCTACTAAAAAGGTAGCTTAAATAGCTGAAAATGGAAAGAGAAAGATAGCTGAAAAAGCAGGAAATAGATAGTACTAGAGGATTTGTATTTCCTGCAAAAATGCAGTGTGAAGGCCTAATGCTGAAAGATTTGTGCTGAATAACTAAAATAGCTTAAATCTAAACATTGCTGAAACAAGCTGAAGTTAGCACAAAGAAACATCAAATAGCACGTTTGCTGAATTAAACAGTAAGAAGCTGAAATTATCATCAAAAGGTGAATTTAGAAAAAAGAAAAAAGCTCATATTAGTTAAAGAGAAGCTGAAATCACTTAGCAGGAAACAAATGAAAGAACATTAAAGAAAATAGAAGGAAGCTGAAAGATGAAAAAATATATACAAATTAGTAGAAGAATTGCAGAAAAGATCAGAATGATAGTTGCAAGCAGAAAAAGCTAAAATCAGCGAAATGAAGCCGAAGGAAGCTGAAATTAATACAAAGGAGCTTTTAAAAAGCAGAACTAAAACAAAGGGTAAAACGTGCATAAAACACTTGTGAAAATTTAAAAAAGGTTTGGAAAAAAATGTGACCAAAAATGCTAAATATCTTAAAAAGTATCAATTGCTGAAATACCACAAGTCATAGCTAGAATGTCCTGAATGAGATGTACTTTATATAAAAATTACATTTTAATATAGAAATTGGTGAAATAGCTCAGAAATTACCAAACAAAATACTGCTATGTGCTGAAAAACGTACGGAAGAAAAAATGATCTCAATAGTGTGCATGCTTTATAAGCACAATTAGCAAAAAAAGAAGCTGARGGAAGCTAAAATTAGCACATGTATTTAAAACAAGAGCAGAACTAGTAAAATAATGTGTAAAATGCAGGAAAGGTTTAACTATTTTTGAAGGGATCCCCGATTAGTTGTAACATTAGACTTTGATAAACATATATTTTAACTGTAAAATACAGTCTGTAAAAATACTGTAGGCTGTTTAGTTTTGTAAATTTTTAAAA